GACATACATGATCATGGCTAAAATTAATATACCTTCATCAACATTTTTAAAATAGTAACTTCTAAAAATAAATTGACAGCTAATCACCTCAAGACAATACAACATTTCTTTATAACATAACCATTGTAAGGGAGGTAACTCTTAATGCCAAAATACCCCAAACAAAAGATAGTGATCACAAATAAACAAATGTATTACCACTTAACCCTTTGATATACACTATTATTATATTATATATACTTCCATCACAGTATTTGATGTTTCTAGAAACAACTAAAAAATTATTCATACTAGAACTAGCAGACAACTTTACTTAATTTAAAAGCAATGTAAGGGAGGTAGTTCAAATATAACCAGGAAACCCTTGTTTTTCTCCCCTTTTTACCCCTAATTCCTAAACGGTTTGAGCCATAACCCCCAAATCCAATCCTTACCATCCCTTTGTGGTATGGAAACTTGTGGTACAATTTCAGAGAGATCCATACACTGTTCCACCAGTTATTGTCTGGAAACTAGAAAAATGCTTATTTTGCCCCCTTTTTGGCCCCTAATTCCTAAACTGTTGGGACCTTAACCCCCATAAAATCAATCCCAACCTTCATTTTGTGGTTTCAAACCTTGTGTATAGATTTCATAGATTTCTATTTACTTATACTAAAGTTATTGTCCGGAAACCAAATGTCTTCGGACGACGCTGACGCTGATGCCGACGCCGACGACGACGTGATACCAATATACGACCGCAAACTGATAAAAAAAAATGTCATTTATGGGCAATAACTCCTATAAAAGTCGTCTGACAGTTTTGATTTGAATAACAATAGGTAGATCTCTGAACATTTAATTTATTTTCTACTCCTATCAGATTTTCTCTATATATAGCAGTTTTCGAAATAATAGACAAAACTTGCATTTTACTCTCATGTTCTATTTAGCCATGTTGACAATGTTGGTTGGTAGGCAGAGTCATTGGACAGATTTTTAAACCAGATACCCCAAAGATGATTGTGGCTAACTTTGGTTGAATTTGGCTCAATAGTTTTAGAGCAGAAGATTTTTTGTAAAAGATAATGGAAGACGACGACAACAGATGACAGACGCCAAGTGATGAGAAAAGCACACAGGGCCATTTGGTGGTTCAGGTAAACTAATAAAAAAACAAACTAACCAAACAAACAAACAAAAAATCATCCCTTAAATAACCACTGAATACAGTGACTTTTGCCAGCTCCTTATCCAACCCGTCTCAAAAATGCAATAAGACATATTCTAAAGAAAACCAAAATATTGTAAATAAAACAGAACAACAATAACTGAGTTAAAAAAAACTGTTGACACAGAGATATGTTTCGCCGGTCAGCATAAAATTAAGAAAAAGACAATCTGATGGACTACAACATTGTTTATTAATTCAGTTGCTGGACCATGATCTAGATCCATTATCGTTTATCTAAAGATACTTTGGAGTTTGAGAATTATTTAAGTATTTTGGATGACAGGCAGATATCTTTATCTCTTAAATTTCGAACTCTGAACATGAAATTTCCAATAGAAACTGGAAGATGGCAAAACATAGAAAGAGAAACAGAAAGTGTGTATTGTGTAATTTAGATGCCATTGGTGATGAATACCATTACATTTTTAATTGTTCAGCTTTTGATAACTGTAGAAAACAATGTATTGCATTTCATTATAGAAATAGACCGAACAGGTTGAATTTTATGACTTAATGAATTCCAAAAAATGTACAGAACTGAATGAACTATGTAAACTTATCAAGGAGATCAATAATAAATTGAACTTTTCTGAGTGAACAATTGTGAATGCCTCTATCTACTTTCGTACATTATTTATTTATGTAATTGTATTGAAATATGTATAATTATCTCTTTACCTTTGTAATTTGGTTTGTGAAAATAAAGAATATATATATATATACAAAATATCATTGATTTATCACAAGTAGATCCTATTAAACTAACTTAAGCAGAAAACTTAATATTGAAAATTGCTAATTAATTCAAAGTCAATGGACCATGACCTCGGGGGCAGGGGCTAAAAATAGTCCTCAAACTGATATGTACTAATAATAATACATCTATCACAAGTAGTTCCTATCAAACTAACTTAAGCAGAAAACTCGTCCCCGAAGCCATCGCTGGAAAAACAATCCCTATGTTTCACTTTGTGTGAATTTCGTTGCAGGCGAGACAAAAAAACAGAGGAACATCCAAGATCTGGATTAAAATTTTGCCCCTGCTTCTTACACTGTAAATTAATTACAACGAGAAAAATCAACAATCTAAATGATCTTCACCCTTAAGAGGTGAGGAAAATGGAAGTGATCAGATTGCATTTGGCTTGAACTGATCATTGAATTACTGCTTCATTTGCTTCATTGATGTTCATCAAATAATATCATGTTTAAAAAAATTCCAAGGGTTAAATATCATTTTCTGACTGAATATGTTACATGTATCATGTTTTACAGCTTTGGGTGTCATTGCAGCAGTAAATCAACTATCATCAGTAACTATTCTGAAATGATCATTATCCGGAAACTTAACATTATATGTTATAAACATTGTTGTTGACACTGTCATTTCATTTAAAAGTACTCCCTACAACTGTATGTTTCTCTTTGCTACATTTGTTGTTGGTCAGAAACTTAAAATAGCATGTATAGTTTGGAGGCTTTCACAATCACATTCAAAGTTAAGTGAACTGTGAAACTGGGGTCAAAACTATAAATTGGCAGATATTTTTAAAAATTTACAGCGTAATGAACATGTGTACTAAATTTCAAGTATCAACTTCATGGTAAACAACCTTGACATAAACTTTATCCTGATACAAGACAGATGGACAAACGGAATAACAGATGGATGGATGAACAGAATAACAGATAGATGGACGAACAGAATAACAGATGGATGGACGAACAGAATCACAGATAGATGGATAAACAGAATAACAGATGGATGGACGAACAGAATAACAGATAGATGGACGAACAGAATAACAGATGGATGGACGAACAGAATAACAGATGGATGGACGAACAGAATAACAAATGGATGGATGAACAGAATAACAGATGGATGGATGAACAGAATAACAGATGGACAGAATAACAGATAGATGGACGAACAGAATAACAGATGGATGGATGAACAGAATAACAGATGGATGGATGAACAGAATAACAGATGGACAGAATAACAGATAGATGGACGAACAGAATAACAGATGGATGGATGAACAGAATAACAGATGGATGGACAAACAGAATAACAGATGGATGGACGAACAGAATAACAGATGGACAGAATAACAGATAGATGGACGAACAGAATAACAGATGGATGGATGAACAGAATAACAGATGGATGGACAAACAGAATAACAGATGGATGGACGAACAGAATAACAGATGGATGGATGAACAGAATAACAGATGGATGGACGAACAGAATAACAGATGGATGGATGAACAGAATAACAGATGGACAGAAAAACAGTTGGATTGACGAACAGAATAACAGATGGATGGACGAACAGAATAACAGATGGATGGACGAACAGAATAACAGACGGATGGACTAACAGAATGACAGATAGATGGACGAACAGAATAACAGATGGATGGACGAACAGAATAACAGATGGATGGATGAACAGAATAACAGATGGATGGACGAACAGAATAACAGATGGATGGACGAACAGAATAACAGATGGATGGATGAACAGAATAACAGATGGACAGAAAAAACAGATGGATGGACGAACAGAATAACAGATGGATGGACGAACAGAATAACAGATGGATGGACGAACAGAATAACAGACGGATGGACAAACAGAATAACAGATGGATTGACGAACAGAATAACAGACGGATGGACGAACAGAATAACAGATGGATGTACGAACAGAATAAGATAGATGGATGAACAGAATAACAGATGGATGGACAAACAGAATAACAGATGGATGGACGAACAGAATAACAGATGCATGGATGAACAGAATAACAGATGGATGAACAAACAGAATAACAGATGGATGGACGAACAGAATAACAGATGGACAGAATAACAGATAGATGGACGAACAGAATAACAGATGGATGGATGAACAGAATAACAGATGGATGGACAAACAGAATAACAGATGGATGGACGAACAGAATAACAGATGGATGGACGAACAGAATAACAGATAGATGGACGAACAGAATAACAGATGGATGGATGAACAGAATAACAGATGGATGGACAAACAGAATAACAGATGGATGGACGAACAGAATAACAGATGGATGGATGAACAGAATAACAGATGGACAGAAAAACAGATGGATGGACGAACAGAATAACAGACAGATGGACAAACAGAATAACAGATGGATGGACGAACAGAATAACAGACTAATGGATGAACAGAATAACAGATAGATGGACAAACAGAATAACAGATGGATGGACGAACAGAATAACAGATGGATGGACGAACAGAATAACAGATGGATGGGCGAACAGAATAACAGATGGATGGACGAACAGAATAACAGATGGATGGACGAACAGAATAACAGATAGATGGACGAACAGAATAACAGATGGATGGATGAACAGAATAACAGATGGATGGACAAACAGAATAACAGATGGATGGACGAACAGAATAACAGATGGATGGATGAACAGAATAACAGATGGACAGAAAAACAGATGGATGGACGAACAGAATAACAGACAGATGGACAAACAGAATAACAGATGGATGGACGAACAGAATAACAGACTAATGGACGAACAGAATAACAGATAGATGGACAAACAGAATAACAGATGGATGGACGAACAGAATAACAGATGGATGGACGAACAGAATAACAGATGGATGGGCGAACAGAATAACAGATGGATGGACGAACGGACCAGAAAACATTTTTCTTTCCACAAACTTTAATAAAATAAAAGAGTGAAAAATAATGTGGTTAAAAATCATTTAATCAATAAATGACAAAAACTAATAGATATAATCACATCTTTTTACAATGTACATATACATAGACAATTTAGCCTGTTCTTTTACAGCATATATGGTAGCTATGGAAGGCATTGTTTAAATAAGGGACAAACACATAAAAATAATTTAAGTTTTGAGTTCATATCTATGATCACACTTGTTTTACAATACAGCAACACCTGAACAGCCAAAAAACTAGATTGCACTTCAGTAAACAAATAAAAATCTAACACGTAAGGGCCAGTGATTACATCGTGGAAACAAAACAATCATGTACATGTATGAATCAATATTTGTACATATTTATCTTAAATTCAAATACTCATATGAAAAAACTCGAGCTTATCGAAAAATTTTGGAGGTTTGACTCTAGAAGCATTTTGCAGACCAAATCTACAACCAGTAAACATTTGTGCAAAAGATATTTAATTATGGATGCCATTTCTAATGGCAACAGATATGCACAATTAAATGTGTAAACTGAACATAAACCATTTTTTTAATCTACAATGATGTAGAATTCAACAAAACAGGAAAAGATGTTACAATTTTTGTTATAATATAAAGTAAACAAAAATACTAATTAATCAACAACTCTATTGAAATGTGTATCATCCTGCACAATTATAACAAATTCCTAAAAAAAAAATTCTGGCTGAAGCATATTAGTGTTTCTTTAAAGGTGTAATAGGAAGTAAACAAAAATGCATTCAAACATGATTTAAACTCCAAATTTTACATCATTTACTTGTAGTATATCTATATCTATATTTTTTTGTTTTCTGTTTGGTATTAAATTGATATGTAAGATCCATTTTTTACATCTGGTGATCAATTTATTTGGCAATCGCCAATGGCAGTCAGCAGGGTTTAAGAACATCAGTTGTTCGACCTGTTAGTCAAATGCGTTTTGTTAAAATATACTTTTTCACTTTTTGGTCTTTTGGAAAATGTTGTTTGTGCTGTATTTAGACCCCTCTACCAAGAAATTTGTTTTACATGCACACGTATGAAAATTGCGGTTTTTATCCAACACAATCATAGGTTTGAACTTTGTTTTCAATTTAGACTTGTTTATATATATATATATGTAGTATATCCAGTTTCAATTATATCTGCTAATTTTTTTAAGGGTAAAAAGCAATGGGAGAGGGGGACACAGGAGTGCTCATTTCCAAAATCCTGCCTTTTTTCAGTAAGTTTTCCAACTTCCCACCTTTTCTGCCTTCTTCCCAGATCCCACTTTTGTTACCCTCTATATCCCACATCCTAAAAGCTGTCACCCCCCTCAGCAATCAAAACCAGCTGTCTTCAATCAGAACTTGATATCCTATGCTAATCAATCATAATCAGTTGAAGCTAAGGATTTTTTTGGTTATTGAAATATTTATGTCAGAAATTTACAACTATACAAACTAAAATATAATTTTTTATTAAAACAATATAGCTGTGAATGTGAACTACAAACCACATAAGCTGAAAAGAAAGCAAAGGAGAACATGTCAGAAATTATTTATCTAATCTCTTTATCAGTTTGGAGCTCTGGAATTAAGCTTAGCATTACATTTCAAGACTACAAATGATATTACATATTATACAACCTTTTCATACATGTTATACAGTATTAAATGTATGTTCATATGTATTATACATAGATTACAGGCATTTCTGTACATTTGTAAGTAGAACCATAATTGTTAAAAAGAATTGTTGAATAAATCATCGCCTTTTTTCTTTTAAATGTTAAAATAGTTCATGCTTGAAGGTCTGTGAATGTCTAATTTTGGTCCCAATATCACAAGGTACTTTATTGAATACACCAGAAGTATTACATTCTGATATGTATAGTATTCAAAAATGATAAATCATTTTTTTCTCTTATTTGCTTCAAGTAAAGGATTTCTTTTTAACATTATCAAAACCTGCCGTTGTTAAGGCATATCTAGGACTTAATTCACTTCAAAAATATATTGGAGAAGGCATATTTAGGATTTGACTTACTTCAAAAACATATTGGAAACTCCTTCTGAACACAAGATGTATCAGAGAGCTACAATAATGTAGTATCCTTATTTAACAATGGTTTAATGGTTCAAGGACGTGAACAATCTTGTGCAAAAACAAAATTAATTTCAAAATATTAAATGCTTTTTGTTGTTTGAATCACAAATTTTATAATTATGACACACTGACATCATTTGCTACTTGATATGTTAATACACACTCATTTTTGTATTGATCAGATGTATAAAATAGTAATTGGGAAAAGTGGTGTATTCATTGATTATTGTTTGCATTATGTCCAATGGCAAATATTTCATGCATGTTCAGGATGAAGGAAATTGGTGTAAATTCTTTTAATTGACTTTCAAGGATAATATAAAATCTTTATAAAGCTGGTCATTTACAGTATTTATATTAAAGACAAACACAATTTATGCAGTTATAATGTGATAAAACTAACTAAACTTTAATAATAAAAAATCTACTAAAAATTCTCATTATGCTTCAAATCTCTTGTAAAAATAATATACAAATTGCCTGTCACACTTCACAATAAAAGTTTTTCATATTTTATTTTACTGCACATATGTATGTATCATTCTCAATGAAAATAATCAAATTACAAGAAAATATATAGATACAAATACAAAATGTAAAGGAAACTCTTAAAGATAAATTGCAAGGTTAAATTATTTTTTTTCACATATTATTATTAATTTTTTTCCTTTTGAGACAGATATTAGTATTCACATGAACTCAGGTATTTTAGGCTTATGCCATATTGTCAACATGAAAAAAAATGTATTCTTAGCATATGGCTATTACACTTGATATCTCACATAATTAACTTATTTCACCTATCTCATTAACCTTATCTACAATTAGTTCCCTTCACTGCAAGGTATCGTGTAGGAAATCCATTTTGTTTTTGATCTCAATTTTTTGCTAAAAATGTTTGGGTAGATCAAACAACCCTGTTATGTTTTTTAATATAAATGTGTTGTATTTTCATTTAAAAAATATCCTCTACCTTTTAATTTGGCAATATACAAAACTATTTTCAATTGTAAAGTTATCTAAAGATTTAACTGTCACAGTTAAGATCTACCCTTTTATTTGGGAAGAAATGACAATAGTAAAAAAAAAATTGAAATCTTTAAAAAATTTACAAAATCTATACTTTCCACAAAAAATGGAGAATTTGTGAAATGGACATATACTATAATGATTCTACAGAATTCACTTAACAAACATTTGACTCTCTGGTTTTCATACAACGCTATGAATAATGGACATTATATTATACTCAATCAAAAACTGCTCCACAGTTTGGACATCTTCTTTGTCTCATTGCTAAACAGCACAAAAGTCCTAATGGGAAAAATAATATGGCACAAAGCACTCCAAGACATGTGTAATCCTCTTCTAACACCCCTACCTGTAATTAAAAGTACACAGTTAAAATTTAATTGATATGAACAATATGTCATGTATCTGGCTAAAGAGTAACTGAATGTGTATGATCCTTGGTTATTTGTGTTCTTGGGTTGCTGTTTCATTGACATTTATGCAATCTGCCCCAGCACTACATATGTAAGTACATACTAAAATAGTTGAGTTGTTATTTCCACTAATTTTTTTTTTTTACAAATATGCCTTTAAAACTGTTGTCAACCTTGTCACATTTGAGTTTGTATGACAGGTCTTGATTGAAGACCCATTTTTATTTATTTTTTTCATTTTCCTATTTTTGTATTCATTTCTAAGAATACTCCTTTTTTCTTCTTGTTTTTTAGCTGTCAAGTTCATCACAACCAAATTAACTAAAACTTTTTAATTTGATTTATAACACACTAAAATATTTACCAAAATTACAAAAGTTCAGTCCAGAACAATTATCAATGCATTAAGCATTAATAAAGTATTAGCATTTTGTGTGTATTTCAGAACTAGATGCCATCTGATCAACCATTGAGATTACCTCCAAAAAACTGTTGATGGTCATTTGGCCTGATATTAACATAAATAGACAGACATATTTGTGCAATATTTTTTCTAAGTACGTTTGATTAAAATTGAGAATGGAAATGAGGAATTTGTCAAAGAGACAACAACCTGACCAAAGAGCAGAAAAACAGCCGAAGGCCACCAATGGGTCTTCAACACAGCGAGAAAATCCTGCACCCGAAGGCGGGCTTTAGCTGGACCCTAAACAAAAATGTGTACTAGTTGATTGTATGATATAGATTAAAAAGAATATGTAAATCATCGTTTTATCAGTATATAATAGATTTTTTGTGGGCCAAATTAGTCAATGAAATGGTTCTTCCTGGTGGTTCCCTTGTTTCATTTTTCACTTTTTAAATTCTTTTCCTTTAAATAACCATCCCTTGATGTATTCCTTGATACACCATTTGTTTTTTGGCCAGGTCATTATCATTGCTGTAAATATACTGTATTTGAAGTATAATCTTACCCTACATGCAGGACAACCTCCAACAACCACTACATGTGTAGGTGGTTGCTGTGCTACTATAATCTGTTGCTGCGACGATGAACTTTGACCAGTATATCCAGCTGGTCCAACATATCCTCCAGCAGGATATCCCTGTCCTGGAGGTCCAGCATATCCTGGTTGTGGGGGATATGTTGTTGGATTGTATCCCTGTGATGGGTCTCTATGATATCTTGGATCATAGGCTCCAGCTGGTTTTTGATGAGGGTCATTAAATGCCCCTGCTGGAGGTGGAATGGCACCATAGGCTCTATTGGCTACAATGAAAGAAAATAAGTATTTGAAAAATTGAAACATAGCAGTTCTCATTGCAGATCACATACTGTAAATTGAGAAATTTTTGTATGCATTTTATATTATTGCCAATGTTACAATGGCAAAAAATTCAGGAAATGCTGCATACAAATACCTGTATTGCTATCGAAAGTTCAAATACATGTTTTTGTTTTTGCAAAACCTATCCTGTGCCAAATTTTGCAATAATAAAATCATTGCAAAATTCTGAATTTACAGTATATTAAAGTTTAACTATGAATCTTTCTAAGGAGATCATTATCCTATTTGTTCATTTTTCTTCTTTATTAAAGTTTGCTGACCAGAAATTTAGAAAGTACTTTATATCTATCAAATAACATGCTCCAATTTTTATGCCAAAATTAATTTTTCTATTTTCTTCAATTGTGCATGCTATAGGTAGATTTCCTTCTTTTTGTGTTTTCTATTACTGCTGGTTTTCATACATAGCAACTAGATTAATTACATTAATATTTTAAGGCTTAGATGGGTATTCACCACTTGTAATTGTAATCTATTTTTTCAGTAAAATAAATAAATTGCTAAAGTATGTCATCCTTTTTTTTTTCATACATTCTTTGCCATCAAATATTAAATAATAATCATAATTTCATGTTTTATCATGTTTATTGCAGATATGCTGTATTTCATTCCTATTTGTCTGTTGTTTTCAGTTCTATTATATCAATTTTACCTTGACCTTGAAGTCCCTCCCTTTCTGCATATGGTGGAGGCTGGTCAGACATTTTGCATTAAATTTCCTGAAGAAAAAAATTTAGAGTCAGAATGAATTTTTTAAATATTACTGATATCTTATATGGTACAAAATTTCGGATTAGGAAAATTAATACAATTGGGTGTGAACTGTGCTGAATGATTAATTTTCATTAAACTGAACTGCATCATGGGTTAAATGATGGAACATTTCAGTAGACACGAAATCAATATTGTCATAACTAAAGAAAGAAACCTACAATGTAAGAAGTACATGTGTATCACAAATTGTAAGTGAATACATGTACATTTGTAAAAAGAACAGGGTGATTTCAAGAGCTGTCAAGACCTAAATCCTGATCCTGCTTCTAAACAAGTACCATATGATGAAACTGAAAATCATCCTGAGACAAAAAACTCTTTTTACCACCAAACAAAGAACTACAAAAATACAATCAAACGTGGCAACAACTTGAAATGTTTCTCAGAATTACAATTAATGTGACTTTAACTATGTTCTGTTTTTTTTTAGAGTTGTTGGCCGTTTTGGTGTATTTATTTTTTAGTTTATTTGAGTAAAGCTATGAAGCCCATTACAGGCAGATTCAGGCAGAAGGGGGGGGGAAGAGTTCCTGTGTCAACCCTAATTCTGGAAAATATAATTTGTTTGCAAAAGAAATGTTAAAATATGAGCAATAACATGAACAAGCATTCTGAGAGTATTGCATGGCAATACATAGTCCCCTACCGGGTAAAAATTCATTAAACTGGAACAAAAAGCTAACTTGTTCTATAACTTGTCATGGTGTAAACAAAAAGAAAATATCAAGTCAATATCTTCAAGCATGACTAAAAACAGTGTGGAAAACTGATTAAATGAGTGAATTTTTCAAGTCCAAGGACCATAACTCTGCACAAAATTATCAGACCGAAACAAAATTTCGAACTTGATCTGTATAACTTGTCATGATAAAACTATATACCAATTATCAATCAATATCTTCAAGCATGATGAAAAAAAGTGTGGAAAACACTTTAACATTAGATATGATTAATAGTTCTCTAAAATTAGATATGATGTAATACAGTGTTTATCTATTTTCAAATTATAATCAAATAAAGTTAATAGTTCCAAATATTTTTTTCTTTTATTTGTCACAAACTAATATAGATTTGTAACTTATCTATAAAATGTCAACAATTTTTATCTACACAATGAAATGTAATACATACATTAATAATAAAAATAGATTATAATCTAATTAAAGGATTTCACTTCATAATTTTTTTTTATATATATATATCATGTATATAGCATTCAGAAAATTAGTTTATACAAATAACAAACAAACCTGCCAAAAAATTCTTAAAAATAATTTACTAAAGAATGTCTTTTAAAAAATGAGTTATCTCCCTTTGTACAGAAATATGGTTTAACATAGTACTCTAACATTAGATATGGTCCAGAGTTATGGTCCATAACTCTGGACTAAATCATCAGACCAGAACAAAATTCGAATTTGATCTATAACTTGTCATGACAAAACTATTTACCAAATATCAAATCAATATCTTCAAGAACGAACAAAAAAAGTGTGGAAAACTGATTTGCCGGACTGACGGATGGACAGACAGACGGATAGAGTGCAAACCTTAAGTCCCCTTCGACTTCGTCAGTAGGGGACTAATAACAAAAATAATAATGACTGTAGTATTAAATTTGGTTTTGTGGAACATTCTTGTCATTCTGTGGTTAAAAGATTCTTCCCCAAACATGCCAAAAGACAAGTTGTCCCAGGATCAGAATGATTTATATACCATTTGAATTATTATAGCCCAAACGTGTAGTTATAATTCAATAAAATGCTTCGCTGGGCGCAGCTTGATACGACCGCAGAGGTCGAACCCTGAACAGTTGGGGCAAGTATGGACACAACATTCAAGTTTGATACAGCTCTGAATTTGGATTGTGATTAAATATTTGACACAGCATAGGTTTCTGACACAGAAAGAATGTGGTCTAAGAACTTCAATTTTTTTAATTTACCTATTATGGTCCAATGTCCAAAATCAAAATACATGGTTAGATTCAGCATATCAAAGAACCCCATATATTCAATTTTTGTTGAAATCAAACAAAGTTTAATTTTGGACCCCAACTTGGACAAACTTGAAAACTGGTCCCATAATCAAAAATCTAAACACATGTTTAGATTCAGCATATCAAAGAACCCCAATAATTCAATTTTTTATGAAATCAAACAAAGTTTAATTTTAGACCCTTTTGACCTCAATATGAACCAATTTGATAGCGGGTCCACAAATAAAAAATCTAAATACATGGTTAGATTCAGCATATCAAATAACCCCAAGAATTCAATTTTTGATGAAATCAAACAAAGTTTAATTTTGGACCCTTTTGACCTCAATGTGGACAAAGTTGATAACGGGGCCCAAAAATCAAAAATCTAAATACATGGTTAGATTCAGCATATCAAAGAACCCCATATATTCAATTTTTGTTGATATCAAACAAAGTTTAATTTTGGACCCCGATTTGGACCAACTTGAAAACTGGGCCCATAATCAAAAATCTAAATTCATGTTTAGATTCAGCATATCAAAGAACCCTAAAAATTCAATTTTTGTTAAAATCAAACTAAGTTTAATTTTGGACCCTTTTGACCTTAATGTAGACCAATTTAAAAAACGGGACCAAAAAATTAAAAATCTAAAAACACGGTTAGATTTGGCATATCAAAGAACCCCAATAATTCAATTTTTGATGAAATCAAACAAAGTTTAATTTTGGACCCTTTTGACCTCAATATGAACCAATTTGATAGCGGGCCCACAAAATAAAAAATCTAAACACATGGTAAGATTCAGCATATCAAAGAACCCCATATATTCAATTTTTGTTGAAATCAAACAAAGTTTAATTTTGGACCCCAAATTGGACCAACTTGAAAAGTGGGCCAAAAATCTAAAATCTAAATACATGTTTAGATTCAGCATATCAAAGAACCCCATATATTCAATTTTTGTTGAAATCAAACAAAGTTTAATTTTGGACCCCAACTTGGACCAACTTGAAAACTGGTCCCATAATAAAAACTCTAAACACATGTTTAGATTCAGCATATCAAAGAACCCTAAAAATTCAATTTTTGTTAAAATCAAACTAAGTTTAATTTTGGACCCTTTTGACCTTAATGTAGACCAATTTAAAAAACGGGACCCAAAATTAAAAATCTAAATACACGGTTAGATTTGGCATATCAAAGAACCCCAATAATTCAATTTTTGATGAAATCAAACAAAGTTTAATTTTGGACCCTTTTGACCTCAATATGAACCAATTTGATAACGGGCCCACAAATAAAAAATCTAAATACATGGTAAGATTCAGCCTATCAAAGAACCCCATATATTCAATTTTTGTTGAAATCAAACAAAGTTTAATTTTGGACCCTAATTTGGACCAACTTGAAAACTGGGCCAAAAATCTAAAATATAAATACATGTTTAGATTCAGCATATCAAAGAACCCCATATATTCAATTTTTGTTGAAATCAAACAAAGTTTAATTTTGGACCCCAACTTGGACCAACTTGAAAACTGGGCCCATAATCAAAAATCTAAACACATGTTTAGATTCAGCATATCAAAGAACCCCAAGAATTCAATTTTTGTTAAAATCAAACTAAGTTTAATTTTGGACCCTTTGGACCTTAATGTAGACCAATTTAAAAACGGGACCCAAAATTAAAAATCTAAATACACGGTTAGATTTGGCATATCAAAGAACCCCAATAATTCAATTTTTGATGAAATCAAACAAAGTTTAATTTTGGACCCTTTTGACCTCAATATGACCCAATTTGATAGCGGGTCCACAAATAAAAAATCTAAATACATGGTTAGATTCAGCATATGAAAGAACCCCATATATTCAATTTTTGTTGAAATCAAACAAAGTTTAATTTTGGACCCCGATTTGGACCAACTTGAAAACTGGGCCCATAATCAAAAATCTAAATTCATGTTTAGATTCAGCTTATCAAAGAACCCTAAAAATTCAATTTTTGTTAAAATCAAACTAAGTTTAATTTTGGACCCTTTTGACCTTAATGTAGACCAATTTGAAAACGGAACCAAAAATTAAGAATCTAAATACACGGTTAGATTCGGCATATCAAAGAACCCCAATAATTCAATTTTTGATGAAATCAAACAAAGTTAAATTTTGGACCCTTTGGACCTCAATGTGGACCAATTTAAGAACGGGGCCCAAAATCCAAAAACTTAATACACGGTTAGATTCAGCATATTAAAGAACCCCAAGAATTCAAGAATAAAACCCCATTGAAATTGATCAAGAAATAAGCAATTTATACAAAGTATCTTCTTTTGCACAATACTGTGCAATTGAATATTTCTTGCTATTGTGCAATACTGTACAATTGACAATTTCTTGCTATTGCGCAATATTGTGCTATTGGATATTTCTTGCTATTGCGCAATACTGTGCAATTGAAGATTTCTTGCTATTGCGCAATACTGTGCAATTGAAGATTTCTTGCAATTGTGCAATACTGTGCAATTGAAAATTTCTTGCTATTGCACAATACTTATTATAAAATAATTTACACATCCTGTTTGGTGTGTATCTCCTACCATATCATTATTATTTGCTTTTAAATATTAATCAGAAATAACCAACTTAAAATGGAAAATTTTAAAAGAAAAAAAAAAGGAAAAAAAGAAAAAAAAAAATCCCCCCCCCAAATTTTTTGAACCCCCTTATGATTCATCACCCCCAAACTCAATCCCAGCCTTCCCGTTGTGGTATTGTACCTTGCAGTACAATTTCAGAGAGATCCATACACTTGAACACAAGTTATTGTCTGGAAACTAGAAAAATGCTTATTTTTGGCCCCTTTTTGGCCCCCAATTCCTAAACGTTTCGGGCAATTACCCCCAAACTCAATTCCAGCTTTCCCTTTGTGATATGGAACCTTGTAGTACAATTTCAGAAATATCCAAACACTTACACACAAGTTATTGTCATGAAACTAGAAAAATGCTTGTTTTTTGCCCCTTTTTTGGCCCCTAATTCCTAAAATTTTGAGGCAATTACCCCCAAAATCAATTACAGCCTTCCCTTTGTGATATGGAAACTTGTGGTACAATGTCAGAGAGATCCATACACTTACACACAAGTTATTGTCTGGAAGTTACAAAAATGCTTATTTTTGGCCCCTTTTTGGCCCCTAATTCCTTAACTGTTGGTACCATAACCCCCAAAATCAATCCCAACCTTCCTTTCGTGGTATTGAACCTTATGGTAAAATTTCATGGAGATCCATTCACTTAAACTAAAGTTAGAGTGCGAAAACCAATGTGTCTTCGGACGACGCCAGACAACGACGACGACGACGACGACGACGCCAACGTCATACCAATATACGACCAAAAAATTTTCAATTTTTGCGGTCGTATAAAAATGGGTATTTATATCCCAAATTGATTAAAATAAAGATGTAATGGTTTAAGTTTTTTTATGCTTTAATATCAGTGTTGTGTATGTTTATTGTGTAAATGTATGTATTTGTCGGTTATAACAGCTCAAAGAGTTCATATTATACTTTTGAGACCTGCCAACTTTAAATAAAGCTTTTGAATTTGAATTGAACCCATCCATAATTGGCATAAAGGTTACTGGTTTCCAACATTTGAAATCTGGGGGTGGGGGGAAAAGGGGGTACTGGTCTTCTTCTTCAAGTTAGTGGCCATCATCAACTGGTATATATATATTTTTTGGTCTTTTCGAAAATGTTGTTTGTGCTGTATTTAGACCCCTCTAACAAGAAATTTGTTTTGCATGCACACGTATAAAAATTGCGGTTTTTATCCAACGCAATCATAGGTTTGAACGTTGTTTTCAATTTAGACTTGTATATATATATATAATCCTGCCACATTTTTGGAGTGCACGCATGAAATTTTTGAAATTGATTAAAAACAAGCATTCTGAGAGTATTGCCTGGCAATACATAGTCCACTTCTGGTTAAAAATTCATTGTACTGGAACAATATGCTAACTTGATCTAATAATTATTAACTTGTCATGGTGTAAACTATAGAACAAATATCAAGACAACTATGATCTTCAAGCATGACGAAAAAAAATGTGGAAAATTGATTATTTGAGTGAATTTTCTAAGTCCAAGGACTATAACTCTGCACAAAATCATCAGACCGGAACAAAATTCGAACTTGATCTGTAACTTGTCATGATCAAACTATATACCAATCATCAAATCAATACATAGTCCACTACTGGTTAAAAATTCATTGTACTGGAACAATATGCTAACTTGATCTATGACTTGTCATGGTGTAAACTATAGAACAAATATCAAATTAATATCTTCAAGCATGACGAAAAAAAGTGAGGAAAACTGATTATTTGAGTGAATTTTCTAAGTCCAAGGACCATAACTCTGCACAAAATCATTAGACAGGAACAAAATTTGAACTTGATCTGTAACTTGTCATGATAAAACTATATACCAATCATCAAATCAATATCTTCAAGCATGACAAATCATCAAATCAATATCTTCAAGCATGACAAAATAAAGTGCGGAAAACTGATTATTTGAGTGAATTTTCTAAGTTCAAGGACCATAACTCTGCACAAAATCGTCAGACCGGAAAAAAAATTTGAACTTGATTTGTAACTTGTCATTATTAAACAATACACCAAATATCAAATCAATATCTTCAAGCACGAAGAAAAAAAGTGTGGAAAACTGATTTGTCCGACTGACGGATTGAAAGACAGCTAGACAGACAGACAGATGGACAAACGAAGTGCAAACTTAAAGTCCCCTTCGACTTCGTTGGTAGGGGACTAATAAAAAGCAGGTGATATTTTATGTATACTGTCAATACAGGTGCAAGTAATAAAAAAAACATGTGGTGTAGCCAGATCTACTGAGAATGGGTTGACCTTCTACCAATTTATACAATGAGTTAAAACTTGAACAAACAAATATGTGTAGTACATACCGTCATACGCACTGCAGATCAACAGCAATAAAGAAGAGGAAGTTTTTTAAAAAAATGTGTAATTTTTCACTTTTGATTTCCGTCCATAATTATTCTTTTCTTTAAAATTGTATATCAGAGTACAGAAAAGAGATGAAAGCTGCAAATTATTTTCTTTACCTTAAGTGACAATGTCTTCTTTTATAAATGCTTTAAATAATATAGATTTTCATAACCACCTGATGAGGGTGTCACAAGACCGACATAAACAAATAAATTATCTCCCTTTTGCGTTTAACAAAATAATTTGGGATGGTGTGTTATATTACCGCTAAATTGACAGTCATTTGGGTAGTCTGAACACCAAAATAGAAAGATCAACATTAGAGTAAACAGTAGTTTACCGATGTTAAATCTCATAAATTCTTTATTCAATTAAGAGGAAACAAGGAAATACCAAAAATGCACACAAGAGTTGTTATAGTCTTATTCTTAAAATCAGTGATGCACCGAAATGGAAATACGAATAGTTTCACTAAAATAATTTATTATGTTTTTGCATATATAACTGAGTGTATCAAACTGAGACATTTATACACATGTCTCTGACTGTATATAACAAATACAAATCATAACAAAATACAAATATGTTCTTGTTTCTAAACTCATTTACAATAAATGGTTAAGACCTATTGCATATATATAATAATATCAGAGACATATATTATAAGTTATCTACGTTCATATCCGTAGATATGGATATTTTAACACCCTGAAGTATCCAAGTACACCCTGAGGCGCAGCCGAAGGGTGTACAGGGTACTGAAGGGTGTTAAAATATCCATATCTACGGATATGAACGTAGATAACGAATTTATCCCCGGTCTTAGTCTAAATCTTGCGATTTTTAGAGAAATTCGACCACAAAGTTTAACGTAAAAGCAACGTTTTTTTCATTTTTTAAATATCTTTTATTGAAATTTGGGAATTTGACATATTTTTTACGGGGTGTAGGGTACTACCTTTGGTAGAACCCTACAGGTAGACAAATATAAGACGTTTTTAAACTAGAGACAGAGAAACTGAAATGGGTCGAATTTGGCGCGCAATGTTGTGAGAGTTACATCATAAACGGTGTGACGTCAACGTGGGTCATTTGCATAGCTAGGTCAGTAGCAGTAGGACAACCGGATGTGCCTTTTTGGCCAAAATGTGATTCGGCGGCGCTCAGTAGTCCTACGCCGAAAATTGGACTATTTTGCGTCGGCCGACGTCAAAAGAAAAATGGCGCGCTTTTGTAATTTTTTTTCGTTCGTTTGCGGCAAAGTACCGACGATAAATACTGTTGATTGTAAGCACATTTATATGAGAAAAATATATGAATTTACATATTATTTTCATTTTTGAACATTAAAATAAAAGGAAATCTCATTTTTTTATATCTGAACATAGAATTTCGGATATTGATTTTCTGCACTGTAGGATAAAATGGCTATATTAAAAATAGGAACAAAAAAATACCTATCCTTCGATTTTCTAAAAATTTTTACATCCTATTCTCGCTAGATTTTGGCATCGAAATTGTAAAGAACAGGAGTGTTCAAGCCAAGGCAAAAATTTGTTCCCATTTTAATGCAGGAGTCTCATTTTTTCTAAGTTTTTCATAGCAAGTGCGGTAGATTTAGAAATTGTTAGCGTTTTAGTGTAAATATGAAGTATTAAGTGCACTGAAGTGAAATGATGAATCCTTGGTACCTATATTCCTTGAAATAAAACCATATGTAATGAAAAAATTAATTTAAAAAAAAAAATTCTAGAAATAGTTGTGGAATATTTTTTTGTCCTTTTCTCGCTAACGTTACGGCTCGGCCTCAATAAGTAGCAAATTCCAAAAATTGGTCGCCTCAAATTTTTTCATACATTTCTGCAATAATCCTGGGTAAATATTGTATGCTTTTTTAGAATTTTAGACAAATCTATCGATTAGATATGGAGAAAAACAATATTGATTTTAAGAGTATACATCACGGAGGGGTGACTTGGTTTTTCACCTTTTCATTTAAAAAACTTTTTTTTTATGAAATTCTTCGCCTCAATTTTTTTCAAATTTAATTCTTATGTTCCTGAATATATAAAGCATATCTGGTTTAAAATTTGTCTAATTCTACGGAGCAGAAAAAATGTAATGACAACATGAATTTTGGGTTCCGACCAGTCACAACATAACGTCAGAAAGGGGCGGCGGTCGGACATAAAACACTAAGACTGCTATTACATTCCAGCTGTAACTATTTTGTTTCTTTTCCAAATGTTCAGAAAATTATTATCTTTCCCTTTCAAAACCATAATAAATCGTACCGCTTTAATTAAACCGGAATTATTTGGTATTCGTACCGCAAGAGGACTGAATTGTACATATTATATTTCCTTCGTTTCCGGTAGAAAAAAAATTGTTGGTGGCTGTAAAATTTTTCCGATAATCTTTTTAGAATCAAAACGCCAATCGATCGCACTATCCTGAACTTCCTCAGTAACAACCCAATCGATCGCACTAACCTGAACTTCCTCAGTAAAAAGAACGCTACACGTAATTTGTCAATAGCGTTCTTGTCAGTAATTTTATCTGCTGGTTGTTCTTCAAACTTGTAGTTGTAATATTTAATCAGCGCTCATTTTCTCTTTACCTTTCAACTGTTTTTTTAATAATAGAACACGTTTACACTTAGAAATCAGGTTAACACTTATTGAAAATCTGATCGTATATATATTGGTGATTTTATTGGTAGTTCCTTTGACTTAAGAAGAACAGGTTTTGATACAGTGTGTGTGTGGTTTAATATTTTAATTTTGTTGTGGCTCTGATTCTGACTGAGGCTTATTATGATATAGTGATATATATTTTATATTGTAATGTTTCATTGTTGACTTAATTACTTCAATCATTCTACTTGATTTATATGGGTCCTGTAATTCATGTAATTTGGTAAATAAAATATTCTATTCCATTCTATATTAAAAAGATAAATTGGATACTTTTGAAATACTATTTTTTTTGCTATAAAAAATACATATATTTAAAATGAGCTTTCAGTTCAACGTGGAAGATTTCCCACCCCTCATTAACCCAGTTGACAAAATGGGCATCCAAAAATCTCTTAATAATTTTAAATTCTCCAATAAGTTACCAAAAAATTTTGTTGATACTAAACTAGCTGTAACAGTAAATAATCCAATTGCTAAAACAGAAACTAACAGAAATTCAAAACAAATTTTGAGACCAAAGGCTAAAAATTGTACTACTGCAAAGCTGTGTCCAGTTTCTAATATTGGTAGCAGCTTAAAATATGTTCCCAAAATCAACATGAATACTTGTAGTACTGTGTCTGACTTTTACACAGTTTATACAAAAAATTTCTTTGATTTATTATCAATCTCTGACATGAAAGAAAACTGTCATTATGATAAAATGCATGAACCAGGAGAAATTCCTCATGAAAAGAAAAACATAATTCCAGCTAATCACAGACTTCATAATATAAATGATAAAAGAAAAAATCTTCATATCCAAGCCTTTGGTAAATCTCTAACATTTAATACATTCTATAAAACTATATCAATAACAACCCTCAAATCATTTGTTGAAAAACACACTGGAATAAAAAAAAAACAACAACATTTTAGGTTAAAAAATGGTCTCACATTATCCACCATGAAGCCAGTCATTTGTGAAGATGGTCTGAAAATTGATTTATATCAACCTGGATTGGGGGGTGTTAAAGGTTCAAATTTTCACCCTGAAAGAGAATGTGGTCCATGCAGAATATGCCAAAAACACAGCATTTATTCTTATCGCCATTTGGTAAAAAATGAACAATCTGACATAGCTATAAATTATATACAACAAAAATATGGACTTATTGAAAATGACTGTATTTGCAAGGCTTGTTTTCTTAAGTCAGAGAGAGTAGCCAGTAGCAAGAGAAATGAGCAAGATGTACCAATTATTAAAAAGAAAAAGGTTCAATGTACATTACATTCTCTAAAGATGTGCTCCCCTGACATATCTCATTTACGTCCCTCGCCCATTTCTCTTGATAAAATAAATTCTGTTTTTGACACAAATATGACTGATTATGAAGGATTTGAGATTTTTCTTTGTGATTCCCATTTTATGAAGGCTACAAGGTTTGAATCCTCACATGACAAATGCACAATCTGTAACTCTATTTTAAAGAGAAAATACAAATTGAGGTTTGACAAGATGGACAAATTACTTTACTACTTTCAAGACAAAAATTTGACCCCTGTTGATTTATCTAAAAATTTAGATATATGCAAACAATGTTTTTCTTCTATAACAAACTTTTTTGATAGTGATGCTTTTGTTGAGATATTAAGCCGTGAAAAGATCATAGACATTTTGACAAAAGCCAGTAACAGCTCCCTTCCAATCTATTTTGATAATAATAGTACTAAATGTTTTGAAAAACTTGTTATTAAAATTTGCAATGATCTTCTGGAGAGAAAGGCACTTCTTATTTCAGACATTGTGCAGTGTTATAAAGATTTTGGGGGGAATTTTGTCTCAGATCAGTTGAGAAATCAAAACCGTTTATTATGTAACAAATTAAACACATTATTCGGTGATTCCATCAACTGTAAATATGACCGACAAGGTACTATAATACTAATGAAAGGACTTAATATTGTTTCCTGTCTTATTGATTCATTAGCTGAATTGAAGAAATTTAAAACATGTACTTCACATGATGAAAATACACTTGAAGAAAAAGTACAAATTGATGATGCAAATGTTTTGAAAAAAGCTGCAGAAATTATCAAATTAAAAATACAAACATCTTGTAAAAATATTAAAAATAGTACAAATAGAAACTTGTCAAATTTTAAATTTCACAACTTCATCGAGAATACTATTGACCCAATATTGTGGAATTTCTTGTGTGCCTTAATAGGACAAGAAACAGAATTACAGCTTCCTTTTGGGGAGAATTCAATAAGTGATGATTCTGTTGAGTTTTCTCAAATTTTTAATATTTGTTGTTGTTTAATCTTCAACAGAGATTCTAAATGTAACAAATTTCAAATGTTAATAGCTGACATCATTGACAAGTTTACCAATTCCTCTACTGATTGCTTTAACCTTTTAAATAAATTTGGTATATGTGTTTCTAAACAGACTTATGAGAGATATCAAACTCAAATTGTCGAAGAAAGGAAATCCAATTCAGTAAATTCCTCAAAATGTCAGTTCCAAATAGCATCTGTA